AAAAAAAAAAAAAGAAAGAAAAAAGAAATATTATTGCTACGTATCAAGTATTACAATTTAAATGCAGTCTTTTCTTTTTTAAAAATGTGTATACACTTTTTGGTACGTGTGTGTATAAAACACAAAGTTGTATACGTTGCTTCTAATACATTACATCTTTCCCAATCAGTATATAGAGCTCTACTGTATTTTTTTGTAACTGCTGCCTTACAATTCAGTGGGGGGGTATCATAAAACTTAATAATTATTATTTTGGGTGGCGCCTGTGGCTCAGTGGGTAGGGCACTGGCCCCATATACCGAGGGTGGCGGGTTCAAACCCAGCCTTGGCCAAACTGCAACAAAAAATAGCCGGGTGTTGTGGTGGGCGCCTATAGTCCCAGCTACTCGGGAGGCTGAGGCAAAAGAATCGCCTAAATAGCCGGGTGTTGTGGTGGGCGCCTATAGTCCCAGCTACTCGGGAGGCTGAGGCAAAAGAATCGCCTAAGCCCAGGAGTTGGGAGGTTTCTGTGAGCTGTGAGGCCGTGGCACCCTACTGAGGGTGATAAAGTGAGACTCTGTCTCAAAAAAACATAATAATTGTTATTCTTTTATGAAAATAATGTTTAGGGCACTCTCTTTGCATCAGAAGTGAATAGAGATCTAATGAGTTTTTTTTTCTGAATAGTGGCTACTCACTTTTAAGAGGGCCTCTTCATAGTGGGACCTCTGAGTATTAAGTAAAAGGCAGGCGTATCCCTGAGCTATCCGGTCAAACAGCTCATCCTGGACCTCCTTGTTTGGCTGCCAGCATTAGAAATGAAGAAGGAATTACTGTAGTCCCTTGTTGAAATAGCCAAGGGGCTGAGTACTTAACCTCTATGAAATAATATGCTTTTTTTAGTACGGGATTCACAAAGCATATACATAGAGGCAGAATATTGTTGAAGAAAGCACCCTAACTCTGGTCCAGCAAGTCCCAAGTTCTGCTTTTGACCCTGCCCTTGACCAGACACGTGACATGGATGAGTTCCCAAAGCTTGGGGGGACCCCACAGGACACTGTGCAGTGGCTAAAGCACAGAATGTGTGGGTAAAGAGTGGATGGGGAGGAGACACAGTGACAGATGAGGCTGCAGGGTACCCCACAGGATCAGAGGGACTTGTAGCCCATGTTAAAAAGGTTGGACTTTGTTCCAGAGAAATACATGTATAACTTAAGCAAGGGAGAGAAACAATCAGGATTGCACTTACCTGGTACCGTTCGTGGAATATCCACCAAAAGCTATCCAGCCACATGGCTCTTGGAGCAGGAGAAGAAAGAAACTTCCCTAATTCTTTCTCCGAACAGAAAGACTTGAAAAGAAACAAAATTTACATTATTATTGTTGTTACTGTTCTTTTTAAAACGCAGGTACCCCTCCTTTATTCTCAGGAAGCACAAGGAGAGTGCATTCTCACCATCCTCCTGGGGCAAAGGTGAGGGTTCCTTGGCACTCCCTTGGCCTACAGCTGACAGCGCCCTGCATGGATAAGCCACTAGGAATTGTGGATAAGCAGGTGTTCTCTGCACCCTGCTCTTGGCTCTCTCCAGCACTCCTCATGTTTCTTTGGACAGGCAGTCTAGAGGCACCTTAAGAGTAGAGACTTCGTACCAGATTGTCTAGATCAAATCCAGCTCTTTCATTTATTGGCTGTGTGACCTTGAACAAAGTTATTGAACCTCTCTGTGCTCAGTTTCTTCATAAAGTAAATGGAGATGATAACAGCCCCCTAGTGATGCCTATGAAGTGCTTAGCACAATGCCAGGCACTCAGGAAACGCTCCTAGAAGTATGGTAGTTACTGATTCTTCACTTATAGTCCTGCTCCCTTTCAGGGAGGATTTCATGTCAGCTTTTCCACAAATATTTCTTTTTTTCTTTTTTTTTTTTTCTTGAGACAGAATCTCACTATGTCACCCTCAGCAGAGTGCCGTGGGGTCACAGCTCACAGCAACCTCAAACTCTTGGGCTCTATCGATTCTCTTGCCTAGCCTCCCAAGTAGCTGGGACTACAGGTGCCTGCCACAGCACCTGGCTATTTTTTTGGTTGCAGTTGTCATTGTTGTTTGGCAGGCTGGGCTGGGTTTGAACCCACCAGCTCCAGTGCATGTGGTTAGCGTCCTAGCTGCTGAGCTACAGGCACCAGGCCCCACAAATATTTCTTGAGCACCTACTAGGCATAGTGAGATGCTAGGTCCCAGGAATGGTAGAATGACTAGTTAGGAGTTGAGGAGGCAATGACCAGAGCTGCTTGGATCATTGGGGGTGTGCGAAGGTGGAGGCCGATGAAGCACAGCTACATAGCTGCTAGACCATTTCCTGGCCTCCTCCCTTCTCCACCTCTGAGCAGCCAGATTCCATCTCGCATCCAACTTGTCTATGCTCACAGGTTCTTCTTGGCCTTGGGACACTCCCCCCATCTTCCTGAGGAACCTAGTATGCTGTAGTACACAGATCTCCAAGGGGGTATACTCACCCCAAGAGGTGTGGGAAGAAAATGTTCTAACTAATGTCTAATTAAGAGAGAAAAGAAATTAAGCTGACTAATATGCAATGTAGTGACTGATGACCAAACAAGTATGTAGTTTACAAACAGGTATATATCTATGATGATGGCTCGGCGCCTGTGGCTCAAGTGGCTAAAGGTGCCAACCACATACACCTAAGGTGGCGGGTTCAAATCTAGCCTGGGCCCGCCAAACAACAATGACGGTTGCAACCAAAAAATAGCCAGGGGTTGTGGCAGGCACGTGTGGTCCCAGCTACTTGGGAGGTGGGGGCAGGAGACTCAGGCAGGAGCCCAGGAGTTGGAGGCTGCTGTGAGCTGTGATGCCACGGTACTCTACCCAGGGGGACAGCTTGAGGCTCTGTCTCAAAAAAAAAGGTATCTATGATGATGTGTGCTCACAAGTTTTTGCTAGTAGGATACATGATCAAAACAGTCTGGCTCGGCGCCTGTGGCTCAAGCGGCTAAGGCGCCAGCCACATACACCTAAGGTGGCGGGTTCGAATCCCCAGCCCGGGCCCGCCAAACAAC